CGAAGAATCGATAGCGGTATAGTGTTGGAGGAGCCGAGGTCGAGGAAGATATCGACCGGAATGGAAAACGCTTATAAGGCCGCGGGGCTCGTTTTCGAGACGCGGATGTACACCTGTTGAGTTTCTGACTCACGTCTTACGATCCCCGCGGCGTTCCACGACGCGTCTTGGAGAAGAAGAGACAGGAAGAACGGGCTCCTTCATTTTCGTTCCCCGCTTCTTCCTCTGCCGCATCACAGCCTCATCCATGATGAATGCCGCTCGACCGAACATCGTTTATCATTATACGTCTATTATCGAAACTATGATTGTCGGAATTAATCACGTGCCCGGAGAAAGGAGATTACCACAGACGCGGTTTCCGATTCAATCCGGCGACAGACTCTTTCCTCTCTTCTTCGTATATAACTGTACCGATGTCACACGGTTAAAAGCGATTTCTGTAGTCTACATAAAGAGAATATTCTGTTAGAATTTACCCTGAAAATTATGATAATTGTGGGACAATATGGAATTGGAAGAATTAATTTATAAGAGTTTCTCCGATTAATATCACTGATCTGACTTATGACAATAAAAATATTAATATCTGCCACAAGATATAAAATATGTTCGATTAAATTTACTACGTATACATATTAATATTTGTTATTGTGGTAAATAATCAGAAAAATTTTTTCAATACTATATATTTACCATATATGATTTTCAGGGTAAATTCTAAGAGAAAATTCTCTCCGTGTAGAAATCTATTATAATTGAATATTGAATTATATACCATTGCATATAGATTTATATGACTGTAGAGACTTTTTCCTTGCGTAAATCCATAGCATCAAGTTTGAATAAAAATGTATTAAATTATTCAAAGAAGTGGACGTGTGCTATTTTTAAACAGCAATAAATTTCAGGGTAAATTTTAAGAAAAAATTCTCTCTGTGCATAGAAATCTATTATTATATTGCACACAGATTTATACGACTAGGGATTCTTTTCTTGCGTAAAATATTACTTAATTATATTCGCAGCATCAAGGTGGAATAACAATTTATTAAACTATTCGAAGAAGTGGACGCACGCTATTTTTAAACAGCAATTCTGCAGCGTCCACGTGGATCCGGCGTCTAGTGACGTTTCACCATTCATAGCGGCGCCCAGATTGGAGACATTGTACAGGTCTCTGTATATGTGTTCTTCAATACGTTCGATGCAGCTGGTCGTACGTGCCGGTGCATATAAAACGCGCGGACAGGTCGCATATATATATATATATGTATGAGCGCTCGTCGCATGAGAATCGTATAGTTCATAGAGTCGCATTGGGGACGGTGAAGGAGAAATTATTGGGAACGAACGAGGATAAGTCGATGAGCGCAAGAGAGAGAGAGAGAGAGAGAGGATGTATTTGATGGGAGAATGCAAATCTGTTGTAAGGATCGAGAGAAAGGAGAGATCTCTAGTCGCACGAGGAGAGAGAGAGAAAAAGATGCGTAATCGGAGAAAGGAGACACGAAATGCGCCGTTCGAAGATGCCATATATCTTCTCCGAGGAGAAGATTGTGCAAAAGTTCGGCCGTACATTACATTCACCGATTGTTTCCCGCCGTGTTATTATGCCAGCATCGCGAGGGAAAAGGGAGACGATCGTGCATTCCTTCTCACATCGGTATTGAAATTAGAAGCGGGGAAAGTCGACGAGGACGATCACGTTTTTGACGCTCGCTGCTGTTTATCGCGACCGTATCACGTTTGCGTAAACTGGGTCGTTGTTAGAAAACAAGAAAACTCTTGCGATCGCCGGCGATATCCACGAATACGTAACCGATCGAAAGTTTGCACCGCAGTTTGTATATACCTATCGTGAAGGAGCCTCGTCCGATCTTTCGGTAATACAAGAACACATATATTACGTATACAATACATATACATATGACGTTCCTTCGTGTATGTGTCTAATGGAATTCAACGATCCAATTATTCCACGGTGATGAGATTCGGATGTTTGAAACTTCGATATATACCATACACATATGCTCGAATAGCAATTTTCGTACAAATAGATATACATACATATATACGCGATACGATCTGAGAAAATCATTTTCGGATTTCGGAGCGCTGCGTAATGCCTGATTAAGACACGCGCGATGATTCGTCCGGTACTGATGAGACTCGGGGGATTTATATCGGCTAGAGAGAGAGAAAGAGACGAAGAAATCTCCCGCAAATATACATATATATACAATATATATATATATATATATTTTCTTCAGAGCCGCTAAACGCAGGTGGCATTCGGTAGCCCGTGCGCGCGCAAAATGTTCAGCCGTTCACTCGTTCGTCGAGGGGACGAGATTATATATACCGTATTCAATCAGCGAGGACGATAATGACGGCATTATCCGCGCAAGAGCGATGAAAGTCAAGCGGTTTACCGTTTTTCGAGGTAGGCACACGGTGAAAACGGTTTTATATAGCTATTACACGACGCGAATACGTGGCGAATGTACCCAGATGTACCCGGGAGAGCTAGGTACCATCTCCGAGCTTTTATCTCTACACGCTCCTTATTTCGTTGTCGTCTCTTGGTGCTCGACGCGCGTACAAACATTACGATCTCCGGTGCACGTGTGTATACGTCGCTTCCTACGTCATTTTTCCTTGCCTTTTTTTTATTATTAATACGCGCCAGCGATGCGTCATAATTGAGTTAGACCGGCGGAGCGCTAAACGCTCGAAGGTAGCACGTGTGTCGAAAACGAGAGAAAAAAAACCCTTCACGAGAAAGGGAAGCAATTTAAGGGTTTCTGTTTATATCCTTCGCGGCGGCGCGGCGGTCCTTCAAGATGAGAGAAAGAAGGAGGAAAAAACAGGGCCTCTCGTAGAGAAGAGTCCCTTTGTCGCGATGGGTCCTCTCGTCGGAAGATACCCGCGAGCGAGTTATGAAATATACAAACAGAGAGGCTGGCGCTCTTCAAACAATCCACGAAGACATACATGGGCGCGTGTAGGTAGATAGATAGGTAGGTAGGTAGGTACACGGCTTTTTTTTCCAAATGCGTGTCCGTACCCCTTCGGGGCCCCTTCAGGCACCCACCGAACCCATCGTCGTCTGAAGGAGACGCTCTCGACGACCCTATGTGTATACCCATGCTCGCGAGGACACGCCTGCATGCGCACTCCAACGTCCTCTCGAGAGGACGACTGTTTGGGCCTCCTCGAAATCGCTCGCGCATTATGCCGTAATTACGTTAGACGACGACGACGACGACGATGACAACGGTCGGATCGTAGGTGGCAGCGCGCTGCTAATTGAGTACAAGACTCTTCGGGCCAGCCGGAAAAAATGGACAATGCAGCGTGTGATAGTGCACCGTAACTATTTTATAGAACCGTGACGGAGCATTTTTTTATTAATATCGTAACGATAATGTAACGAGACATCTTCTTAAAACTCTTCAGGTCTTATTCTTTTTTGTACTTTGGAAAGAATTTTTAAGAGTTTCTCTGATTAATATTTATCACAATAAAAAATATTAATATGTACATAGAGAAAATTAATCGAATAGAGAAATTCTTTCAATACCATATTGTCCCACAGTCTCACTTACCATGATTTTAGGATAAATTCTAAGATAAAGTTCTCTCTGTGCACTCATATGAATGCTTTACTTCATCGCGACTAAAAGGGGACAATTATCTCCCTTCCGAAAAGTGTGAGAAACAAGTGAAACCATTAGTCAAACTCGTAAAATACACGGATGCGATTTATTTTAGATATCGAGGTATACGAGAAATTCATGTATGAGAATCATAATTAAATAAACTGATTGATAACTATAGCTGAAGAAGCGTGATAAAAATTCAACGTGAATAGATGATCGCAAAGATTTCCCCGCGAGAGTTTACGGAGGACAAGAATAAAAGGGTGAGAACACAGCGCAAGGAAAAGAGAGAGAAAAGGAGGAGGACTCGACGAAGAGGAATTGCCAAGCGACTGGAACCAAACAGGAATTTTACGCAACGACTCGCGCTGCGATGGGAGAGATCAGCGGACCGGAAATCCCTTACGCGGATTCGATAACTCTCTCTCTCTCTCTCTTTTCCTCGCGCGAGCCTCTTCGCTTCGTCGTAGACAAAGAAATCGGGTCTAGAAATTTGCGATTCGCCCAACCACTGGCGATGTAATGCGAGCTATAAAAGCGTCACGACTCTTCCTCGCGCGATCGTTATAGCTTTGCGCGTTGCGAAAGAACGGTTTCGCGTGAATCCTCCGGCCCTGACTTTCGACGATTTCAAGAATGAAAGCTCAAACTTGAGAAAAGACGTCGATCACACGTGCAATTATATATATGTATACAAACGGTTCCCGGAGGCGGCGTCGCTAATGAGACGCCGCCGCTCTCTCTTCGGCGTCGTGTCACGACGTCGATGATAAATGGATTCGTGACGGGCTGATTCTCTCTCTCTCTCTCTCGTGAGTCCCCGAATGTGTCGTCCCCTTGTTACGGCTTCATCCTCTCTCGCCCGTTGTCGTCGTTCTTTCGGCACGGCGGCCATTGTGCCGGTGACCAAACAAAATTACGGTCCCGTATATATGTATACACCGTGCGGCCCGCGTTATTAATCGCGCGCGGGACATCGAATTAAACCTCGTCGCGCCTCGTATATATACGTGTAACGGCGACCGATTGGGATTTTCGAGCCGATGTTCTCACGGATATTTAGGTGATATGCAGCGCATATGTTTTGGCACTTGACGTGCTCGTTTCTCTCTCCAAGTGCCTGCCTCCTCTCGACGCGTATTTAACATTAAACGAGACCAGCTGATTCTCAGCTGACAGTGCAATGTTGACGTTTCGAGTCGACGTTTAAAATAATACATTAGCATACGTCATAAATGAAAAAAATCTTTGTACAAATTAAAACAGATTCGCGAAATATTTTTTGCGCTATGAAAAACAATCGTGCTGAATAAATTCAGATGCAAATTGACTTACCGTCCATCGGAAGGTGAAGTGTAGTTGCAGGGTGACGGGTTCGGTGAGGGTAAAGGTGTTCGGGCCGAGAGCGTGACTAGATACGTTGCCGAAGCTGCAGGAGCCGATGGCGGTGACGTTCGACTGATACTCCTTGAGGCAGAGCCAGAAGGCCGTCGAGCAGGGTGTCGTGCATGGCGGGAATCCTCCTTTTCCGCCCCCATCTCCCCCGCCGCAACACCTACCGTCTACCAGGGTGCCCCTGTTGTTCGTCAGCGAGAGGATCTGCACCTCAAAGTATCCGCTCGCGGTTGTCGCCTGCGGAAATAAATGGAAATATTTTTTTGTAACACACTTGACATACCACGTAATTTCGACAGGTTAAATATTATTGCAATTACTGGAACGATCATTTATCGCAATACTTTGAAAGGATATCTATATAAGTATCTACACGGAGAGAATTTTCTCTTAGAATTTACCCTGAAGATAATTGTGGGGCAACATATGACATTGGAAGAATTTTATAAGAGTTTTTCTCTGATTAATATTTACCACAATAAAAAAATATGAATATGTACATAATACAAAATTAATCTTATCGTGGTAGATATTAATATTTGTATTCAGGGTTTCAAATTTGAAGAGAAAATTCTGTCTGTGTGAATGAGAACGTTTCTAGAATCACTCGACGCACTTTTATCGTTCAAAAACAATTAATATTCAAATTGATGTATTCGGGTAATAAATTATGCAACGATTTGTTAAGCGTCATCGAGAATTACTCATTAACTCAGTATAAATATTGTTACATAAATCGTGAAATTGAGAGAAAATGAACGTGGGAATAAGAGAGAAAGATATAAGAAAAGTGCCGAGTCCCTTCGAGCATTGTGAAAGGCTTTTTCGTCAAATTCAATTCCCCGCTTCTGTGCAAAGCACGGGGACCTGAAAAGCCTCGGGTTACTCTGTCCATTATAGCGTATCATGGAAACGGAAGTCTCGTGTTAAGGAGAGAAAGAGAGAGATAGAGACGGGGCCCTCGGGCAAATGCACCGAATGCAGCAGCAGCAACTTGGGGCCAATCTCGGGAAAGAAATCGAGCAGTTTCGAAATCTGCAATCGCGCGGTCGAGCAATTTTCGAGCCTGCATGCTGTTACGCGCGATACGCATCGCACATTCTACGTAAGTACGGCAAGAGCGATTACTTCTTTCTCACGCGCTTGCGCCTATATACCCGAGTCTTGCCTTATACGCAAATTCCAATCACGACACGCGAGAACAACGATTAAACTGACATGCGAGCCAAGATACATAAATCGACGCTAAATCTAATATTTGTAGAACAATTCACACTACTTTTACTTTTGGCACTGTACTGTAACGATCATTTATCGCGCTACACGGAGAGAATTTTTCTTAGAATTTATCCTGAAGATAATTGTGGGACAATATGGTATTGGAAGAATTTTATAAGTTTTTTAAGTTTTCTACTCTTTTATTTATATGTTTTTCTCTGCTTAATATTTACCACAATAATACATATTAATATATAGTAAAAGGCCAAAATCTGGAATCGAATAAAAATAACCGTGAAAAATAATTAATAAAATACTAATAAGTCAGACGAGGCTTATATAAACTTGTGAAAGTGATTTTGTTATAATTTAATTCGCTCAAAGAGATACAAGTGGGAGTATAGAACCATTATTGTACATACATTGCACGTGCGCAAGTATATGTTCGACGTGATGTGGGTGTGTGCATGTATGTGTGCGCATGCATGTCTGAGCCTACGTAATTACCGTAAGAGTAAGATCGAAGGTAGAAAGCGCGCAAAGGATCGTCTGCTGGCCTTTGCGCTTTCCATAACGCGCTTCCTTCTATGTTACATAAGATCGTTTCGCGAGTGACATTTTAACAAGTCTGGCGCTGCATCGAGCTGCAGCTCTTGGATTCGGAGAGAGACATCGGGAATATGAAAATCATAGGCGCCCATATAACTTGTTTCAAGGGGGCATAGAACAGAGTGTACATATACTTAGATTTTTATTTTTAATTGATTTATAAATTCCAAACAAAAAATGATTTAGTCGATAATTATAAAATTATTCCAAATTGAAAAAAATTAAAATATTAAAGGAGGCATAGCCCCTCCTTGTCCCCCCTCCCTGGAGCCCATGATAAAAACGGAGAATAAATTGAAAGATGAAAAGCATACCAGCTCTCGCGGATTGATGACAATCGCGCGACATAAGAAAGGTGGAGAAGTCGTGCGGCGATAATAAAATGAGCTTTGTAATAGAAATCGGATCTTTTGTGTGTCGAACAAAGAGACGCGAGTGCGACACGTATAGAGATTCGCTTAAGTTATAAGCCGCGTAATTTCGTGCCTTTTGACCGACGTGATGGTATGCGCCGTAATGTACACATTGGAGCAATTTTGAGAAATCCTTAAAAGAGAAGACGGAAAGGAGAATGCGTGAGTCAGCTGTCGTTTCTGCGAAATCCCATGGGCTCAATATTTTAACAAATAATATAGTTGACTCGTATTTAGAGATTTTAAATTTAAATTATTCCGCAAAGTATAGAATTATGAATAAATTGTACAGTTATTTAAAAGAATGTATAATGTAGTATATGTTGATATTATATATGTATCGACATTTAAAAAATTATTTACGATATTAATTACAGCTTTCTAGATATTTACGTTTCAAATTAGTTCTATGTCAATACGCTTACAGCATCTTACAGCAATCTACTTCATCGTAAATCATTTTATTTCGCAGATTCTTCTCATTAAATAAATTTCAAACGAGTTTTATAATTGAGTCGTTTATACCTTTGTGCCATGTAAAAATAATATTATAATTTAACCGAATTTATCGGGAGGCGGCAGTAATTAATTATGCAGGCAGCGTGATGCATATAAATCTATTATATAAGTGGCCGAAAATCGGAGAATTGACTAAAGTCCTCTTGATCGCGACGTTTCGACTTCTCGTTTTTACGAGAATATGAATCGCCCGGCTGGCGATAAATCCCGGGCGTCGTACGAGTTTCCGTGCGCGTTTGTTTGGAAAGCGAACGCCGTGTGTAACGACCCGCGTACGCGTTTTATTAGCCGAGAGCATACTTATTCTAGAGGCTCTCTCGGCTTCGCCGGTCGCCGGTAACCTCTTGCCTCCGTGCGCGGTACAGCGTTAGAGTTCTGTCTCTCTTTCCCTTTCTCACTTGCGTGCGCGCGCGGACGTTTGCAAACGCGCGCTCCGCAAACTTTGCACAGTCTGCTCACGTGCCGACGAGAAATTGCCGGACGACGGGCAAGCCGGAGATGCTTTAAGTTAGCCGACGCGGAAGAGTTTCTCTCTCTCTCTTTCTTCTAGACGCGGATGGGCGCTTACGAAGAACCGGAAGATATTCAAGGGAATCGTTCGCGACCAGACGCGACCGGACTATCCGACGAAATTTTCACACTGAATTGAATAATGAGGCATTAGAATTTCAGATATTTTGACGACGTCTTCACTGTCATTTTTGTAATATAATTTGTATCGATATACATATTAATGACGTATAAATAATAAGGGGGGAATGTATAAATAATAATGCTATAAGTATATGTTCCTTTCGTTATTATAATATTATAATACACGGAGAGATCTATCTCTTAGAATTTACCTTGAAAATAATGGTAATCGTGGGACAAAATAAAAAAATTTGATGAGTTTCTCTGATTAATTTACCGCAATAAAATATATTAATATGTACATAATAAATTAATATTAATCGAACATATTTTATTGTGGTAGATATTAATATTTTTTGTTGCGATAAATATTAATCAGAGACTCTCTTATAAAATTCTTCCAATATCATATTGTCTCACGATTACCATGATTTAGAGTAAATTTTAATTAAAATTAAACATTTTTAATTTACATCCTACATCATTTAATTTTTATTTCATCATTTATTACTTGAAAGCGTGACAAGAATCGTCTTCGTCGAGCTTTCAAAAATCAGTGCAATCTGAATGTTCAATCTAATTCGCGCTGAAAAGAGACACGAGTCTCCTCAGTATTTTCCCACATGGTCGGAGTCGGCCGCCACCCAGCGATAATTGAAGTTCCTCAGGGCTGTCGAGGTGTAATAAAGGTGGGGGACACCTCGTATTAGCGGCCACTTCCCCATCCTGGCACCGCGCCTTCGGAACGTTCGTTTCTTTCGTCTTTCGCACCGGCGCGGCGCTCGCTTTCGCGGTTATTAAGTTGAAAGTTCATCCCTTTCTAACCGCACATTACGCGCGCATTGTAATAACTCCATTGTCCTTTAAAACAGGTTTCATGATTTACATTGAAAAATAAGATTCTTAAATTATACACGACTGCGTTATTGCCTTTTTAATGACGGAGTCGCAGGGAGAGATGCTTTCGAAAGGGCGTAAGAAATTAATTTTCGAATCGTTTTCTCACGACAAGATCAGACCAGGGGAATGTCTATACCCTAAGTTCCGCAGATTGATCTCCGAGCATATATCCAGAGATGGAATATTTCGCGGATATTTTTATATCCATCCAGAGATGCGTTATCGCGCTGTCAAAGCATATATACATCTTTGTAACCTGTCATAACGCTATATGCTCGAGTGTATGCATATATATGTATATGTATATGTTCGAGAAACGAACAGAGCGACGGCCTTCGATGTATGCTGCATGTCTGTATGTGTGTGCGCGCTAGGTCGGTTCGCTGTTGAAGAAGAAGAGCCTTTCCTTTCCGCATAGCCAAGGTGCAGCGAGCCATACCTCGGTGCGCCTACTTTTATGTACACACTCCTGTGAAACGCTAGCGAAGTATACGAATAATTCGTCCGAAAAAAAAAGAACACAGAAACACTCGCGGAACTCGTACTGAGAAACGACTCTACCGTGTCCTCTCCGGGTCTCTTCCTCTTTCCTTTGTTCTTGCCCCCTTCCGAAAGAGAGCTCGTTTGCCGCGAGTTACGAAAATCTGACAGAACTTTCGAATAGCCCGTTCGGAGCGATTTTCCTCGTCCGTTGGATAAATGATTGACGCGAGATGTCTGTCAAATTTTTTCAGTTTTCTTGCTAACCAATATAATGAACCATATTAATAACTAAATCATAAAAAGATGACGCATTTAAAAAAAATATTTTCTCTTAATCAATTATTTCGTGCAAAGTAGCTTAATATTTTTAGGAGCACTTTGAATTAATTATAAATGTACGACAATAGAGTTCGATATATGCCGAGCTGAAACTGCGGTAACATCGAGTACTTAACTCGAGAA